ACAGACAACCCCGTAACAATATGCGTTTTGTACTGCTGTTACACAGCACAAAACGCATAATAAAGTGGCAGGATGAGATTTCTTTTTTATAACAGTGTTGTTGATTAGGCGCACAAGCGGGCCAAAAATGCCGTTAACTGATTGATAAAGCAGCGGTAATTGGATATGTGAGAGTGGATGGATGGATTGTTTGTTGCAGGATTATGTGCCGGATCTCTTCGCTCACTTCTACGATCTCGGTGTCGAAACACATATGTATGCCTCTCAATGGTTCCTCACCCTATTCACTGCTAAATTCCCACTACAAATGGTTTATTTCATCGTCGATCTTTTCCTCAGTGAGGTTTGTGCTTTGGCGTATTTATTGCTTAAAAAGTTTTCAATTTCAAATATCTAGGGAAGAGGAGAGCAATAAGTCTTATTTCCAATGTATTTTCTTTAAATTCGTCTTCTTGAATGCATGTCCGCACGTTGTGTGTGTGTGTGTGTGTGTGTGTGTGATTGCTTTCGAACTTAAACGATGAAGATAAGTCAAAAATTGGGGTTTCGGCAAGATCGTGAAAACTTCATTTCGCCATTTGTCCAGTAAGCTAGTTGTAGCAACCAGGCTGACCTTGGAAGCCTGATTAGCGAAGGCGCGATAGATTACAGCATGAGAGAAGAATCTGAGAAAAGAAGTTAGGAGTGAGATAAGACATTTCGGTCCATTAAGTCATATACTCCTTAACTCCACATCGCAACAGGACCTCGTCAGTATGACGGTCACAGTGCTTAATGGAAAAGGAAAGGAAAAAAGAAAGGCGATAGAAAAAAGCAGAAGGGGAAGTTTGGGTTTTCCACCACTCTCGTTACTTCTAAGATTCGCTGGCTGTTTGCTAAATCGTTTGTAGATGTAGGTTGTGAAATCTGAGTTACTCATTCCAACCTGTAAGTGTTGCCGTCACTCTCGAAATTCGCAGTGCGCTTGCAGTTTTTGAATTTCTGTGCGAAATGTTTGTGTAGTCCAGTACTTTCTAATGTTTCTGTTGGTTGAACTGTATGAATTGTTTTCAGGGGATGAACACGATTTTCCACATCTCGCTGGCGCTCCTCAAAGCCTCCAAGAAGGAGTTATTGCAGTTGGATTTTGAGGGTGCTTTGAAGTATTTTCGTGTAGCGCTACCACGACGATATCGTA